TTGGTGTTTTAACTGTAACATATAAATATAAAATATTAATAATTATATAAATAAATATAAATATGATATAATTAATTAAATATTTTAAGATCTTATATAAATATATTTTTTAAACATGTAACACAACACGATATGCCTAATATATTTATTAACAAATCAGATTAAATTTTATATGACCAAAATTACTTATAATTCGTTTAAATCTACAACACAATTAGCACAATTAAATTATAATATATATATAATTACAAATGAAATGTACCTTCATCATTCAAATTTAAAACTAATAATAATAAAAATATCTATGATAAAACAATAAAATTTACTAATTGTAACAAACTTTAATACTGAGTATTTGATTTATTAATTAATATATAATTTTTCTTTCAAAAAGAGTAAAGTTCGAATATGTCACGGCCCAATAATTAAGACCAATCTAAGTAGGTCAAGTAGCCCAACAAACAACAACTCAAACAAGTTAGATAATTTAAACAAATTAGACAATCCAGACAGCAGGCTTAACCCACATACTATAATATAATTTAAACTCTTGAATTTGCTAATATATATCTCAATTTGTATGTAGATTTATTAAATTAGATTAAGATTTTTATTTAATTTGAATATTCTCTCATCAAATTAAATCTCTTATTTTATATTATCTAATTCTTATTTTGTAACCTAATAGAGTCATTAGCTTATACATAGGCCTTTTTTCCTCATTTATATCACATCTTAGAGAAATACAAAGCATTGTATTTCTCCAAAGTTCTCTCTTTTTCTTTTACTTCCATGATTTTATAAATTTCAAAGCTTATTTTAATTATATTTTTCTCATTTGTAAGACTATAGTTTTTTTTTCATTATTTTATAAATTTTAAAATTTATTTAAATTTTATTTTCAAAATTTAAAACCCATAAGATTAAACTTAAGTTCCATCACGTAACAAAGTCCTTCTTCCCTCAAATATAAAATAAATATAATAAAATCCACTTACATTGTCAACTATAATAAAATCCACCGCTATTGTAACCAACCACATATAAAAATATTTATATGAAGCTGTAAATGTGGATCATGAGTTATATAAATCTATGATTACATGATTAACTAAATGTGCCTTATACAAAACTTGAATAGATTAAACAGGTTTGACATAAAACTCGATTACCCTAAAGATTTACATTCAAACCCTCTTCACATCTTGCCGAGTTATCGCCTCCTATATAAAATCATTTTGGAAGGCCTTATGTAGCTTTGGGCCCAGTTCAGTTTTGTAACGTTTTACCATTGCATTTTTACACTTCAGCATTTAACTGGAGAGAGGCCCAATCCGAGCTCAAGTTGGCGGCGGAATGGCCGAATTAGCTTCGGGCTCAGGCGTGGCCCATGAATTCCTGATTATAAAGGTCAAGATGAGGCTAAACCCAAAACAGAAGAAGGTGCTGGAAATTGTATGGTGAAAATTCCTGGCTTGAATTTTAACATTTATAAAGAAAGAGGCTAGTTATTTATTTTACTAGTGTCATACGATGATTTTATATACTATACGGTATACAAGGTTAGCAATACTAGTGAAAGTAACAAGTGTGGCAGCTGCCATGTGCCCCTTAAGTTACCTGCTTGTACGAATGGTGGCCTCGAGACGTGCAAAATATCTATGGGCAAAGCCTGGGAAGTGGAAGCATTTTTCCCGTTGAAATAAATTTACTACTTACTAACTATATTTAATGTAATTGATTGAGCAACCTGTAAGAATAACTGTAACACTTGCTATTTATGTCCCCAAATAATTGAATACATTTAATCAATTAATAGTGAAATCGAAAAAGTTTAAAATCTACTCATACTTTAGTGATGTGTCCGTGGAGATGCGGGGGATCGAACCCCGTGCCTCTCGCATGCAAAGCGAGCGCTCT